CCCCCCCCCCCCCCCCCGCTGCTGCTCCTGAGCAGCAAGGGAGCCAGCAGGGAGTTGATCACACAGCATTTAGCACCCCATCAAGAAAACAAAAGCCTCTCCCATTAGTTCAAGCTCTTCTTAAACAACTTTTTCTAAGGAAGGAATGGAGGGACTTTACCAGCTGACCTGTTGATTAGCTCCAAAAAGCCAAAAGTGGACACTGTCCTGTCTGCCTTACAGATACCTCTCAGCATTAGCTAGCATACCACATGCTGGCTACAGTCCATGCTGTGGGAGAGGGGAGGGGGTAATCCCTGTTTGAGCATTAATCCCGGCAAATCTGCTGTGCCTGCAGTCTCTGCAGGAGCTCCAGCTAGGGAGCAGAGGGGTGGGGCCAGCCCTGCTATGGAGCAGACAGCCCAGCCCTGCCCATGGCTGCAAAGCATCTGGGATGCTGGTGGATTCTGGTTTAAGTTAAACCAGGAAGGCGGCCGGGACAGACATTGCATAAGCCAGTTTGACCCAAATCAATTAAGTCTGATGCTACATTCAACCAGGTTTATCTCAAACTGGTTTCAGACATTTTCAGACTGGTTTATGTGTACTGAATGTCTGTTCTGTTACAGGTTTAAACCAGTTTCTGATCACTTTAAACCTGTTTATGTGTAATGCCTGTTTCTAGCCATGGAGAACACAACAGACAAATTGTAGCATTTGACAACTTGTGTGACATGGATACCTATTAACCCAGTTTGGAAGAACCTCAGAAAATTTGAAAGTTCATTTCAGATTAACACTCCAATGTCTGAATGCATATCTGATGCTTATTCTAATAGTCTGAATCTCTTGGTTTTGCAAAACTGGGCTAGACATCTCATGAGAAGTCTCTCTGAGATTTCTAGTACTTCCTGCTTTTTATCTAGCCAGAAATACTAGGAGAACAACCAGTCTCACTATTTTTGTACTTCTGCTTCCAGTGAGGCACCCTAGAACAGAGGCAGTGGTGAAGACGAAATACAAAAACTAACATTTTTAACTTCAAAAAAGAGTTAATTTTGAAGTGTGTGTGTGTGTATGTATGTATGTATGTATGTATGTATGTATGTATGTATATGCATAAATAGATAATTTCAACGATAGGCAAGATATATATATCTATCAATCAGTCCAATGCATACAAACTAAATTTAATTATATATGAGTATGTATATATGTATGAGAGCAAAAGCAAACACACGAGCTTTCATGAACCCAAGTTCACTTTATCACCTGAAAGATAGGTCATTTATGGCAGCAGTATTATTCTGTACTGAACTGGTGTCTCAAACACACGGGCAGTCTCTGTAGCCACTTGGGCATTCTATGTTCTGTCAAATCAAGTAAATAAAACTAATACAAGAGACTAAATTCAAAGGTGATGTGTAAACGGATGTAGACTATATAACTAGGGATAGATATTCAAAAAGCCTGAGCCTGAATTGATTCAGTCTTTGCAGGTTAGTTTAACCTGGCTAGGCTAAACCAGTTTGTAAACATTAAGACATCCCTGCTGGACTGAAAAAATGCAGGCACTGTGCCTGCAGTGGCTCAGACTAGAAGCCAGGGGGTGCACAGCTCTCCTGTCCCTTCTACAGTGCTGAGCTAAGGGGGGTGTGGGCAGAATGCTCTGATTAGGAAGGGGCTCCCTGCCCCCCCAGCCCAGCAGGAAATTGATAATACAGTGTTTATCACTCCTAACTCAGTGTTTGTCATGCTATTAAAACAACAGAGGGACAGTACCAACTACCTGTTGATTCTGCCTTTGTCCTGTCTGCCACAGTATGAACTGTAGCCAGCATGTCGTCTGCTAGCTAATGCTGTGTGTCTGTGTAAGGCGGGGGGCACGGTGGAATCCCTGCTTAGAGGAGGCGGGGAGCAGAAGCCGGGCAGGTGCCTGCAGACTCTGCTAGAGCTGCAGCCAGAGAGCAGAGGGGACGGGCCAGCCCTGCTGTGGACCATAGGGCCCTGCCCAGCTCAGAGATCACGCTGGGCTGCTGGGGGAGTCTTATTTAACTTAAACTAGCAAGGGGTCTGGGACAGATTGCACAAACTGGTTTGACTCAAATCAATTGTGTCTGATACTATGTTCAACAAGGTTTATCTCAAACCAGTTTCAGCCAGTTTCAAAATGGTTTATGTGCACTGAACATCTGTTCTGTTACTGGTTTAAACCAGTTTCTGATCACTTAAATTGGTTTATGTGTAATGTCTGTCCCTAACTTATGTTAGCGAGAGTATATGAGTGGATAAAAGACAGCCCCAGTCTAACTGGTTGTAATTTAGATGATGATGATTGTCCAAAAGACTGAGGTGAAGTGGAAAAACAACCTCCTGTAGGGCATAAGAAAGTAAATATGAAATTAGGCTAACTTGTACTTTATTACTCTTTCTACTAATTCAAATTCTTGTCTGTCCACTTAACGATGTTCAAATTATACCACCTTACACAGTGCCTCTGTTGTCTGTGTGTTTCAAAGCTTATCACAGATGTTTTAGGATCTGCTAGTCACTACCAGGTGGAAGCATTTGCTTGGATTCTAAGCTACAGACCTTCCAAAAAGTTTTCGTCTTCCTGAAAACAAGCATGGAAAATTAATCCCTAAACTGGTATGTGACTCAGAGGAAACTAAACAAGTCCAGCTACCTTTAGTAGAAATGCTTTAGCTATCTTCTAAAGGGCATTTTCAGTTATTTAATATGCCAATGGAAATTTATCTGCTGAGATTACTGCAAAACTAATATTTCTTACAAAGTAAAGTGAGTCAAGAAGTAACAAACAGCCTAGTAACCACAGACAAAAAGCACTGTTCCTGACCTGTAGCTGACCTTTGATCTGCTGCTGCTGCTGCTATACACTTTTCTCTAAGTTCATAGCCCTGAGCTTTTAATAAGATGGCTTCTGCTATAGTGTATCTCTGCTTCATTAAACAACATATAATGCACTGGAAGAGGCAGATAGGGGCAGCTTGTTAGCAGTTTAATGAGTAAACAAACCATTTTCCCAGCTTTATTCAGGGTCATTCAGCCTTAGATGGGACACCAGTTTGCAACTAAAGGGGCTCTTGTTCTTGTCTCTAGCCTACAGCAGATGGTGAAGAGGCTTGCTTCTTGAAGCAGAACACAGCTGCAATATAAGTGAACAAATTGTGTGTAAAGCATGTGGAATTACACATGGTGAATGACTTCTTCAAGAGCCCAGTTTAACCTCGCATGCATCTATAAGTGTACTGAACTTCAGTAATGCCCATGGTCAATAATAATATTTTATGTTTCTATAGCACCCTTTTGAGGAGCTAAATGTGAATTGTTAAAGCTTCAGCACACCTGCAAAATAGGTTTTATTATTGGTATCTTACAAATAGGATAGATGAGGAAGAAGCCGGTCAGGTTCAGTCGCTTATGAATGGCAAGTAAGCTCTAGCCCATGAAAGCTTGAGAGAGAGAGAGATGTTAAAATAAAGTAGATATATACTAAGTTGTGTGTGTGCATGGTTTAGTTTGTCTGTAATGTACAAATCTACTCTGCTTCTACTCGGCTTAAGACTAACAGCTAAGACGTCTAAGTCACTTACCTAAGAATACTCAGGAAGGCAGGACACAGCCAGAGATAAAACACAATGTTCCCAAACTAATGTTGTCCTTTTGCTCTTGCTCAGATACATTGGATATTTAATCCAAATCACAGGTCCAGGGCTGAGGATTTTAGATAGGAGCCTGAAAGGGACAGCATGATGGTGTGCCTTTATGTAGATGAGGATCCTTGGGAAACTCAGATGGATGCTGAAAAGTCCGATTTACATTGAAACAGGGGAAGGTGGCGTTTACAATTTGTAAACAGGCCTAGATGTACTCCCTTTCCACGCTGCTGTGCCCCCACTGGATGAGACAAGGTAACACATGGATGTTTTTAGGGATAGTGACATGTGGCAGACCTTTTCTTAAATCAGTATTTCTCAACCATAGCACTCTGGGGTGTTGTGAGATACTTTTAAGGATGCTGCAGGGTGCAAATACCTACACATGATTTACAAGATAAACCCAGAGATTTCAAATAGAAATCCATAGCATCAAAAACGTTCTGCTGCTGTCTTTGCAACAGAAGAATTGCTGTACAGGGAGTCCTCAACTTAAGGCGTTTTGAGTTGCAACGAACGGCTCTTACATTTATACACTGACACCGTTTCGACTTTCTGGTGTCAATTTTGACTTTACAATGCTTGATCTGATGCCACGCCACGCCAGCAAACAAGTTTGCTGCGTGGCCCATCTCCCTGGAGAACATCTGTCCAAACTTTCTTGGACACTTTCTTTAAGAAAGCAGACAAGGGTCCAGAAAAACCTGCAGCCAGGACTCCTGAGAAGACTCCAGCCAAGAACCCTTCACAAAGTCCAACCAAGAGCCCTTCAAAAAGTCCAGCAAAGTCACCTCAAAGAAGTCCTTTCCAATCAGTATGATTGATACTTACAATATAAATACATTAATGTAGCTATATTACTCATTTATAATTGATTGAGTAGAAAATTCTGGATTATTTTTGGTGAAAATACAAAATAGGTCCCTCTGGGTGGGTGTACTGGAGCTCTGGAGGGAAGGAGAGTGCAGGATTCAAGAAGTGGGGACCCTTTAGTCCAGTGTTTGGACTCAGCATAGAAATCTAACAGCACAGTTAGGGAAGGATTTGCTAACCATCCCCACAGAGTACTCTTCCATTCCCAGCTGTGCTGGGGTGGAGGTAAATTTACAGTGCAGCAGGCGCACTAATAAGTTAATGTTTAACATTATTATTACCTCATCTTCCAGAGGCTCCTTCT